AGTCACTGCTCTCCCTATGCATTGCTTATGGCAGGCCCCAATTAAAATCAAAAAGCTTAAACGTTTGCACAAACCTGATGGCCATGAGTGGAGAATGTGCAGGAAGCCACTATTTTCTGTGTTCAGGTTGAAAACAAGTAAACTCTAGATATAAAATCCCAAACTGGAGCTACAGCAAAGGTGTGGAAACACCTAGCCACAATGCTGCATATTTACTACAAACTAAAGTTGAAGTACAGTCCAGGATGGTCACATTATTTAACTGGTGCCTTGTTATCCACAGTCTTTACTGTTTTATCCAGTATCCGGTGAAATGAAACCACCTCTTTTTAAGTGCTTGCTGTTTGTTTTTGCCCAGATCCCTTTGGGTCAGTACACACAGGAACACTTCACCGAGTCTGTGGCCGTGGAACTGATTGAAACGTTCCGGAAGAAACTGAAGGAGATTGAGGACCAGATCCTGGATCAGAATGCCGGACTGGACCTTCAGTACCTCGTCCTTCTCCCCAGCCGCATAGAAAACAGCATCACCATATAGAAACACATCCAGTGTAATCATCACACCACTTCCTTTGTCTGTCTTGAGCAGTGCTTTATTTATTTTGAAACTTTGAAGAAAAACACATTGCCATGGAAACCCCAGGAGGAGGAACCAGACCATCTGTCTAATGCAGTAAAGGATGGTGATGGATTTCATCAGACATGGTGATAGGTTTATTTAATCCAAAAATCTAAGCTTTTTGCTAAATTATTAGCATTATTAGGTGAGCAATTCTATTAAAACTATTGCAGCATTTTTAAATAATCCATAATTATGAACCAGGAAACGATGCTGTATTTGGGTCATAACCAAGCAAAGCTTACATGGCTGGTATTTCTACAATGTTCTGTGAATAACTTACATGTTACATATTCAATATGGTATGTGTTCCAATGAGGCTTTTTTTCAATAAAAAATATCTTTTGAAAAGAATCTAAGCAGGTAATGAACCTTCTTTTCATTAAGTGCACATAACTACATTGCAATAATTTTATTGATCTCATAAAATATTCAAATGTTAAATGTTTTCCCTTGGCTATAATTAGAAAGTTGTTTGTAATTAACAAAATAAAGGCTAAAAAACATCAGTCTGTGTGGAATTAACCTGTATGATATGCTTCATTTGATGAATTGAGCGACTAAAATAAAGTCAAATTTTAACACATTGAACCTCTAAACTTAGAATAGGAGATTCTTTTCAGCTTCCTCTGCAGTGGAACCAGCTCAGCTTAAAACTTTCCTTTTTGATAAAGCTTGTAGTTCGACTGGTTTAGGTTATCCTGAGCTATTTCTACGGTTGAGCTGCCATGGGTTAATTCTACTGGAGAACAAACCGACCACTTCTTACTTTCTTCTTCTACTGCTCTCCATTTTTGCATTATTTGCTGTTATTTCAGCTGTTAACTTGTTTTGCTGCCATGATTCTTACACTTGGCCATGCAGTTCTACACAGCAGCATGTCTCTGATGAGCAGCTAAGCCTTCCTGCTACATTTAACAGCGTATCAGAAAAACACATTACGACATGTTAACAATGGGTTAAATATTTGTAACGGTTGAAAAAAGTGTGGGGGACAGAGAGCACAGATATAGGAAATGCAGAGCTATACCACCTCACCTTACATCATTAACTGCTATCTGAGTCAATCCTGCCTCTTTGGAGCCAAACTATGGACACTAATGCTCTAAAGAGGATGACCCTGCACTCAACAAAATGATCATAATAATGACGTCCTGCGAATGTACACACCACATGAGAAAGCAAGAGAACTCTCATTTTGGGGAAAGATGTGAATTAATGTCATACACTAAAATTTCATTGATAAGAATTCAGAATTCAAATTCAAAAATACTTTATTGATCCCAAAGGGAAATGAAATGTTGTCATAACTCATTAATTCAGATTCAAAGCGTTTTTGTAGATGCTGATGTGTGTTGGCTGTTTATCCATGTCATGTTGCCCATCAAGATGGATGGAAGCGATGGTTTGAACTTCCTCCTCTCTGCTCCTCTTCTGCCTCCTTTTCTACTCCTCTGGGATTTCTGACTTCACTTGTGGTATTAGTTCTGCTTTTCTGATGTTAATCAGCTGCCGATTAGATGCTTAAACCACCTAGTTAAGCATCACAGCAAAATAGCAAAAATATGAAAAGTATTGCCCAGAATCAGTCCAACTACACAGTATCCAAACAAGAAGGAACAGTTGTCTAAAAAAGCTATTTTCCTTCAAAAAGGCAAGAATAAAATTTTGAAAGAGAAAAAATCTCAATGAAAGTTCAGAGCTACTCCAACACACTGCCACCCTGAAAGAACAGAGCAGACTGTGAAACATCTGGATGAAAAGGAAAAGACTGAGTGAAGAGAGGAACCAAAGATGAATAAAAGTGTCTCTCACAGGAAGCTCTGTATGTCAGAAGTCTACTTTAAATGCCAGAGATGTGCAACAAACCTTCAACAACTGGAAGGACAAAAAGGTGCCTGGTTATTTTGGGGGTGTGTGCAAAAAGCAAAGCGACGGAGCTGTGTCTGTAGACGACAGGCTGGTCCCTGTGCTCAGTGTGTGTCTGACTCTCATGTATTTTTTCATGTAATTTTTTCACAAGTCAAGCTTGGCGGAAAAGTGGCTGGCTGTTAGAGAGATGGGAGTGCTGGTCTCAGACCACACCAGAGCTTGAAACAAAGAGAAACATTTCATAACTCTCCACTGATTTTGACGTAAACCAAAATGTCACCATGCCGACATCATGAATATTGTTTTCCACTGCCACAAAATAAAACATGATTTTTTTTCGGCTCCAGATACAAAATCCATTTAATAAATTAGAAAAGCTGTCTCAGTAAAGTTCAACTGAAATGTCATATAAATTAATTACACAAAGAATAATGTTTTCAAGCCTTTATTTCTGTTAATTATGATGATTTTCCACTTACAGATAAAAAGAACACATCGTTACAGAGAGCACATGTAAAATTAGAGCAGTACAAAATATTTGAATACAGAAATGTGGGCCAAATAAAAAAAAAAGTCTGTTTAATACCTGCTTAAAAGTTTTAACGTTCAAAACAAACGCTTGAACTGATTGGGACATGTAGTAAACTGAATATGATTATAGTTTGTGATTATTATGCTCAAATCTTCAAGGGTTGAGAATTCATTTGCAAGTCAGTGTTTATGTTTGCACAGATTGTCTGTCAGTTGTTTCACCGACCAGCAGTAATATGAAAAAGAACAATGGATTAAAAGGACAAAATGAATCATTGTAAGGTGGATTGTTGAAAGTGTGAGACAGAAATGAGCTTCTACAAAAATTCACTGTTTGTTATTAGTCAGGCAGTTTCAACTAAACGGGAACATTTTAAGTGCCAAACATTTTGCTTATCTGTTTGTAACTGTTTGTATAGGATCTGGTGCTCAACATCACAAAACCACAAAGATATAAAATCACAAAGACTTCTTAAATCAAAGCGAGAGAGTTAGAATTTGACCAAATGATTTAAATACCAAGACATTGAAGAAATAAACAAAAAATAGAACAGATCAAACAGATAAATGTCCCTTAAGTATGCAGAGAAGAAGGCTTCAGTCAAATAAAAAGTTTCATATATTTATTTTCTTAATAACTGAGTTTGTTGGCTAAAAAGACAAAAATCAAACCAAACAATGGACCAAACAACCTGCTGTGTTTTTTTTTCTTCTTGTTTTATTAATCCGAACTTAGCACAATCAGTCTTTTGTTTAAATTTAGAAACAAAATGTCCATTAGTGAATGGGTTGGCATTTTATTCAGTTTAATGAAAAAATAAAACAAAACAAACAAACAAACAAAAAACAAAAAAAGTCAGACGTCATTTTTTGGATTTAAAAAGACAAGATTAAAAATCAAAATGGAGAAATGGAGCTAAAGACCACAGAGTGAGAAAAACACATCATGGATCCTGAACTGCAACAACTTAAGAAGGTCTGTCAATAAAAAACCCCCACTGCCACCGCAAGACTTTGTCTTTTCAATAAATGTGAAACATTAAGTTTTTCACCAAAAGGATGACACAGAAGACATTTTCAATAGATTAGGTTCTATCCAGATCTCTATAAAGAAGAAAAAGAAGAAGAAGACAGAAACAATCAGCCGGTTGATTCACGCTAAATGACCAACAGGAAAATATATTTTCTGTAATCCCAGCAAAACCTTAGATGTTCAGGGCTGAAGACATTATTGTTTACAATTGTTTTTCCATGAAAGCCAGAGTTTGCTTTATTGCTGCTGTCTTGTCTCAGATTTTTATTTGCTTAATTTTAGTTTAACTTTTAACTTGTGATACTTCCTCTGTCTTTCTAAGTGTCAGGCTTATTTTTCTCTCTCAATTTCTGTTCCGTTGTTCTTGCTGTGCAGCACTTTGAATTTCCCACTACGCAAATAAACGTGCCTTGCCTGGTGTGTTTGCTCATCTCCTGTGCATGAATGGGAAGATAGGCAAATAAAGTCATATTCTTCTACAGTCTTATCTGCATCTAAAAGGGTGGTAGGGATTTTTTGGAGCTGTTATGTTCCATGAATAACTAAAAATGTATCTTTTTTTTAATGAATAAATCTCCAGATGATCTCTTGATGAAATAATTTTTTAAAATCCTCCATCTCAGGTAGAGGTTCCCAAACTGTGGGGCGCGCCCCCTAGGTGAAAAAGTCAAAGGATTAATAAAGGTGAGACCAAGACAACGTTAGATTTCTGTGATGCTTGAACTCCTTCACTTTAATATTCCTGCTCTCTTTAAATGTTCACACACAAACTGCAGCTTCCATAATAGCATACATATCATACAAATGTAAATAACTACAAAGTTGAGCTACGTGATTATAAATAGCATGTTTGAAATGTATTATTTGTGTAATTTATACCATCATCACTGTCATTTAGCAATAGACTACAATCAGTATTTGTATTTGTACAAGCTATTTGTGTTAATAGCTTTGCACTATTTCATTCAATCAACCTATCTACTTATCTATCTTTCAGTGTTTTTTTATCATACTTTTTTGTGTATGACAGGGGTGAAATTCTTTCTCTTCCTCGTTGTTAATCTGGTCTCCCATAGTTTCCTTCACTGGACCGTCTCCTTTTCCCATCATTCTCAGCGGCAGCAGCGGTCCAGCCTGCTGTGGGCTCTTAGTTCTCCCTGCTGGACAGCAGTGAGCTCCCACCTTGTCTTTGGTCAGAAAATATAGAAGAGCATTTAGCCATGCATTGAAGGACGCTAGCGGCCGCGTCACCTTATAGCACATCGATACTGTCGTCATGGTTTCACAGGGAACTTTCCCAGTGACTTTCAGCAGCAGAAAGATGGTTCTGGTCACATGGAAGGGGAAAAAACACAAAGCAAAGAGCAAGGTGATGGTGATGATGGTCCTGATGGATTTACGTCTGCGGCTCGCATATGGGGAACGAGCTCCAAGGAAAACAGAAATCTCCTCATCCTTTTCTATCCCCCTGAACAAGCCGTTGCTTCCTCTTTCACCCGCTGCAGAGCCACTTCTGCCTCTTCTCTCCACAACCTTGCTGTCAGTATTTCTGGGTCTTTTGTGGGATGAGGGTTGGGAATGCAGGGTCTTAAATATGGTGAGGACTACACGAGAGTAACACCAAGCAATTATGGAAAAGGGTAAAAAAAAGCCAATTAAATGTAGCATAATCCCATAGGGTATGTACTCAAGGAATTCTTTGTCTATGGCATCGTCCCAACAATTCTGGTATTCCTCATGGGGCAATCCCAGGCTATTATAGCTGATGTTGCCCTTTAATGATGGCATGTTGTGACTCTCGTTGTAAATAGTTTTGCTTGCATTGGTCCACTTTCCTGCCATTCTGGTCACATAGCCTGTCTGGGCAAACCGGAAAATAGGGCAAGTCAAAGCGAACACTACTATCCACACCAACACACAAGTGTTCTTGACAGCTTTCTTGGTCTCCAAGGTGATCACTTTTATCGGGTGGCAGATACCCAGGTATCTGTGAACAGAAATGCAGGTGAGGAAGAAGATGGAGCAATAGAGGTTGAAGTAGAAGAGGAAGCGGACCAGACGGCACATGAAGTCCCCAAACACCCAGCAGTCACGCATTATGTAACTAGCCACAAGAAATGGCAAAGACAGTCCATACATGAAGTCTGTGGAGGCCAGGTTGACCATATATATGAGGGAAGCATTCCAGCGCTTGGCTTGATGGAAGGAACGGTAGAGGATGATAGAATTCAAAGTAATGCTAAATATGAAGGTAAAAGAGTAACAAATGGGGAGGAAGATGTACTTATAAGATTCATTTATACTGCAGGATGAAGCTGGAGGAGTCATGGAGGAAGTGGAAGGAGACAAGGAACTAAGGACATCCTGGAGCATAGTGGAACTGATATCTGGAAACTCTTCAGCTCTGGATGACATGGGAGGGATGAAGCCGTGTTAGCTTATCTTCAGGAATCCATCAGGAGAATTGTTTGTAGCTTTCACATCTGCGCGCCATCTTGGATGTCGGCGAAATGTTGTTGACCTAGAAACAAAGATGGAGAATCGTCACCTTTGGTCAGTGTTAGTGCGTCACAGGTGGCTGATGAGCACTGTATGTTGTGCTTCTTTCCTCAACTGATGTGACAGAACTTTCCATGTCAGCAGCAGACCCAGTCAACAAAAACACATGACCTGAAATGCTACTTCCACTTTTTTTGTTTTTCAACTAAAAATAGAGCATCGTCGTAAGGTATCACTGGGCATTGTGCCAAGGTTGGGTTACTGCTATAACTGAAACAGACACGTGTCATTCACCAACAAATGTTTGTATATTATTTTTGCATTTATTATTCATTGTGTCTGACCCCAGCCTTGAGAAAACCTTTAGCAAGACAGCAGTAAGTAGAACAGCATAACATTTAAACACAGTCAGCCGTGGCACAGTGGTGTCTGTAAGACTACAGAGCACAATGGACACCTGTGTTGTGCGTTCTAGCATATATTTTTCAACATTAATCAATGAGACCAAAAAGTAAAAAGAATCAACCTCAGTAAAAACAAGATTCGGGACTTTGCTGTATATTAAAGGAATGGGACTTATCAGTTAGGGTATTATATATGTATATACATTAAAAACCAAAAAGAGTCAAAGAAAAGCTTTCTGACATTGAAATGCTTGAATGGAACCATGAAAACTATAGGATAGAACAGGCGCCTAGGATGGTATTATTCTTATGTGAAAGTAAATGCATTTATTTTTTGGACTTTGACAACATTACTCTAAACTAGTGGTGTCCAAGTCCAGTCCTTGAGGTCAGCCGTCAGTCTGCCACTCAGCCGATGATCAGCCGGTCACTTGATTCAGGTGTGATGGAGAAGAGATGAATCTAAAAGTTGGTGGATGGTAGCTGATGGCACCCCTGCTCTAAAAGATGAATGTATTTTAATTTTTTTCACTTGAAGTATTCTGTACATCATCACTGAGTGTTTCTCATATTTAAACATCTTTGTTTGGAATGTAATTTAGGATGTTCTTCATGTGAAATGTAGCATAGTTCCAGACATCCATTACCACAGGATATACCTGCTGATATCCTTATATTTGTTTTGTTGTTTGATGTAAAACAAAGTAAAAGCTTTTATGAGTTCTGCTCCCATTAAGATATCATTCATGTTGGACTACAGTACTGCATGCATTAACCCTTTGACTCCAAATAAGGCTCTATTGTGTGAACAATTGGCAAAGGAGAGTCTTAGTATTTGTCCTCTTACAGATTTCCACTATTTTTTACTTTTTTCTTACAGTTAAATGTTTTCTTAATTACCAAATAATTTTTTATGTGAGCCACACATAACCTGAGTAAATACACAGATCAGATTTCCCATGATCATTTATTAATTTATGGGTGAAAATATTCCACACCAACATGGTCATGTTAAAAGTGATTATCCCCTTTGTCAAATCATGAACAACCAAGTCAATTCAACTCAAATTGAATTGGCTTGAGGTCAATTCCCAACAATCATACTTACATTGCAATTGACCCTAGTTATCAAACAGTACAGTAAGCTCAATTAATCATTCAAAGTAACTTATAAAGAAACCCAGTAAACTGAGTCATTTTTTGTTCAGTTTCACTCGCCACACATCCTCCACATGACTCCAAGACCTGGAGAATCAAATCGTTTATCAAGGAGAAACTATCGACATGAAATCAGCAAAAATATCTAAAGCAGCAAAACATCTAAAACAACAATCTAACAAATTAAGAACAGATTAGTCTTTCAGTCTGGAAAGAGTTTCAAACTATTTCTTCGGACTCCAGTGAACCACACAGTGACACATTATCCTCTTAATGGAAAAACAAGGAATATCAATTACTATTCATAGGTGGATCCAACCTAAGAAAATTAGTGTAAAAGCACATCAAAGATTTATCCAAATGGTCCAACCCATAGCGGCATATAAAAAGCAGCATGTCTTACTAGCCTCAGTTAAGGTCAGAGGTCATGACAGAACAATAAGAAGCAAACTGGAAAGAAATTGCACCAACAGGAGAGTTCAAAGATCAGAAATATTACTGAGCAAAAAGAGAACAAACACACTAACACCTGTCTGACTTTGACCAAAACATTTTGACTTTGATTTCAGAGACTTTTGTGAAAGTATATAATTCTAGAAAGTGGAATTTTCTAGGCAGTATGTCTTCTGTTAAACATGATGCAAAACAGACATAATAAAAAAATAAATATAAAAGTTTATGCATCACTTAACTCAGTGATGGAAATGTGACGGCCTGGTCACTCCTGAAGGTGGAGTTTCAGAAAGAGCAGGAGTTTTTAAGGAGAAAGGCCCAATTTCAAGGTGTTAAATTACAAAAGTAAAAAAATGTTAAACTCATATTTGACGCATATGGCATTTTTATAACAGCTGAAGGTAACATAGTTACTTGGTTGTGCTATAAAATGAGCCTGGAAAACACATAATAATGTCCCTTTAATGGTAACGCTTAAAACCTCAGCCTGTAGATGGGTCACACGTCTATGCCAGTGTTATTTTAAAACTTTTCCTGTGTTATTTTGTGGACCAGAAGCTGAGAGGCTGTATGCACCTTTCTAGAATACTTTTGTCTGAATTTATGTGTACAATGAAGGGTAAATTGAATCCAACACAGCTTAAAGATTGTGAGTAACGGACTGAACGGAGGACACTTTGACTTCTTTATGAGCCGGTGGTTTCCAACACCCTCCCTGCTCTCCATCGTTGGCGTGGGTCTTTGCTCAGTTTGTTTGACCTCCTGTCGCATGCTGCTGATTCAGAGTGAATGTTTGCCTTCCTGTGCACAAGGGTATGTTGCTGATTCAGTCCCTTCTACCTCATTAATTCAGCAATAAGTAACCATACGTGACCATGGTCTCGCCATGCATCCTCCGTACACAGGTCATTTTGTCCCCCATGGGATTCATTTCTGTCATAATTAAAGTTAAATGTCATGTCAAGTCACGTGCTGAGATATTTTACAAGTCAGAGAATTTCAACAGAACAGGATTCAGTCAACCAGGGTTTTTGCTCTCAATATATATAACCTATGGCGACAAAAATAAAAACTGTAGGTGTTAGTGGGCCATCTACATATGTATATATATGTATGAGTATTTCTATATGTGATGTAGAACACAATACTAATATGTACAGTACCCGTAGGACAACATGAATAGAAAATAAAGTTCATTCCAAACTACAACATTTTCCATTGGGTGTGTTGATGAGTTTGTCCAGCAAAGAACAGGACAAGTTCAGTCTTCAATGTTTCAGTGAGTTCTTTCCGCCCTCACGCAGATCTATTTTTGTTAAGTTGTTTTAGTGCATAATGTATAATAAGTGAGGAAGGATAATGTATAATAAGCTGCAGAGCCTGTTGACCTGGCAACATGGCCGCAGAGCTCCAGGTCATCCTGAACATCCTTGAACCGGGAAAAACCCGTCTGTGAAGGTCAGCTTGTGTCTAATGATGGTCTGAAGTTACATCACAACTTCATTTTATAGGACTTGGTAACCCCAGCGACCACACACACCCTGTAGCTTTGTGTAACTCTAAAACAGTCACATGTTTTTAAATAACAAAATAATAAAAGCAAAATACAAACAGTAACAGTGCTCACAAAATGTTGGGGATAAACATCTTGGAATATCTTGGATTTGATATTCACTGACCAACTACTGGGAGCCAGGCATTTATAAATGAACACAAACTCATGGGTACCTGAATTGTTTTATTTTTTATTTTTACTGAAAAATAACTTTCACTGCTTCAGTTAATGCTGTGATAAACAAATAAACACCGACATCCCTACATGTCACTCAGCGTTCAGCCAACGAAGCTCCATCAAACTCTGAACAAGTCGATCTCTACAATCTGCCTACCTGATGTCAGAGGAGGATGTTGACCCTACAGCTCCAGGTCCATCTGTTGCTTATCAGCTGATATATTTATATATATAAAAGAAGAAACAATTCCAAATTCTTAAGAGTTCAACACAGAATGCCAAGCAGAACAAAAGTGAACTTCCTCCAGGCAGAACGGCTCCCGGTCGCCGGCAAACAGCAGCAGGAATCAGCAGACGTTCACACAGTTGGACCACTTCAGCTTTCGCCTCAATTTGCTGCTTCTCAGTCAGTGGTTTCCATGGTGACCCAGTCCCTCCCTCTGTGCTTCAGTGCGCGTCATCCAGTTCTTCTTCCACACTTCACCTTTAAGAGACCATGTTGTCTTTACCTGCTCCAGTTCAGCTCGTTATGATGAATGGACTGCAATATGACTTTTCTAGAAGAAGTAGTTTACTAATTATGTTCAAGAAAAACACAGAGACTATCTCTAAATACACTGTAGTTCCAGAAAAAAGGTACACAATGCCCCTCAAGCAAAACAGATTATTTTAAAGCTACAAATATATTTTCCATCCCTGGTAAGAAAGATAAAATAGAATAAAACCAACCATTAGCACAAACCTTCAAATTAAAACAAACTAGAAAGGACTTAAGAAGAAATTCTGACAAGCCATCGTTGCTCAGTCTGTAGTCGTCTGGGAATTGGAAGGTTGTGGGTTTGAGGTCAACAGGCCCCTGAGCAGGGCAGCTGGCCCCACGCTGCCCAGCGACGTGTGTGTGAACATGAGCGGACAGCGTAACATGGTCAGCTATAGAAACTCATTTCTCCAGCTGATAGATCAAATTCTCACAAATTTGATTTGTTATGAATTTGCTAAATTAAATAAACCAAAAAAGGCTCATGGTTATGTTTATTCTTTAATGTTATGTTTTTTATACATATATAAAAAATGGGGTAACACTTTATTTGAAGGGGGTTGAATAAGACTGACATAACACTGTCATAAACATGACATAACACCTGTCATGAACATGAATAAGCCTTCATGAATATTTATGACTGTTGTCATAAAGCGTCATTCGGTAAATTATGACACTTTTAATACAAAGTTGACATTATTCAAAATGTCTTTGTTATGACAACTTGACATTAACCAAGAAATCATTACTGACATAAATTTGTTCTAAAAGAATTACTGATTGCACTTTAAAAATTAGGTAACTTTATGTTATTAAAGGTAAAGTTTAAACAGTAATGATTTATTGGTTAATGTCAAGTTGTCATAACAAAGACATTTTGAATAATGTCAACTTTGTATTAAAAGTGTCATAATTTACCGAAAGATGCTTTATGACAACAGTCATAAATATTCATGAAGGCTTATTCATGTTCATGACAGGAGTTATGTCATGTTTATGACAGTGTCATGTCATGTTTATAACAGTGTCATGACAGTCTTATTCAACCCCCTTCAAATAAAGTGTTACCAAAAATGGTCAGTGTAGAGAATATATGACAGACCGTACATGAGATCTTTAAAAAGTTCAAAGTTGTTTAACAGGTTCATGATAAAATTACACAACTGGTGAAAGTTTAGTGAGACAAAAAAAACAAAACAAAAAAACAACAACAAAATAAACAGAATTTCCTGTATGTAAACTTCTGACTGACTCAACATATTTGAGACTACCACTGCAGCCTGTGGCCCGATCATCCCGATCATCGAACCGACGACCTCCGGGTCTGTGACCAAGCTGCTCCAACACGCCTGTTCAGCTTTGAATTTCCAAAAACTGAAAGGCTAAAAAGTCCCTTATGAAAGATACTGATTCCCCAGTATGTTTTTCACTTCAAGCTCATTTAGGATTTTAGTGACAACTAAATGAACGAAATGTCCTAAAACAAATACCACATTATCACTTTCACATCATTTATTTAACAATAAGAAACAGGAGTTTAGGTGGTCGATGTTCCACAGTTTAGTGTTAGTTCTTTCATTGCTGTCCCAATAAGAAAACTTATGTTTAATTAAAAACAATATATAGAACTAATGTAGGCCCACGTGAGCTGGTTCTTGTTCCAGAACAACTTTTTATGTGGATACTGGTGTTAAAAAAAAACACTACAGCAAATTTTAAGTATGAATATCTGATTGTCATTGTTCTCGTAAACATTTTAATTCTAAGTTGATAGAAGCCGTGACCTCTGACCCGCTCTGGGTCAGTTAGAGCGGAGCGCCGAGGCAGCAGAGAAACTGGCTTCTCTTGTTGAAAGGACTGAATGAAATGAATCAAACCATCAAACCTAATGATCTTTCCTCACATCCTCAGCAAACATGAACTGTTCTTATTTGCAGGTGTAGATCTAGACCATGTAGAACACAGCAGTCCTCAGTGGTTGAGGAGAAAGCAGGTGGACTTCTGTTTCCTGAACACACAACGTCACATCGAAAAAACCTCTTCAGTTCTGAAGACGTTTAGAAGACTCTTACCTCCAACGAGGCCCGTCACGATAACTGACAATTTATTGTTCCAGAACTTATTGCAATAAAATGATAATATTGTTGTTTTGAGTTAGTTTCAAGTAATATAACAGCAACAATAAGAAAACATTCTCATGGATCAATAAGCTTTAAATTCTAAACACTGGAACTGGAAGACATTTGAAATATTCAAAATAAATAAAACAACGGAAACAACAAATAAAAAAGGATTATAAAGTCTGTGTAAACAAAATTGTTTTAAAAAAAAGGGATAATTGAGAAAGAAAACACCAGAATGAAGACTTTTATCATTCAGTTTTTGGTAAAAAGAGAAAGAAAACAAAAAAACAATAAATCAAGCAGATGAAAAGTTTTGAGTTTCTTTTCATTTATCATGCGATTAATTGATTTATTGTTTATTGTGACAGGCCTGCTTCAACCATGTTCAGAACCGAAGAAGCAGCGAGGATGAGACGCCAAACGTCATTAGGAAACAAGAGAAGAAGTCCAGCTGCCTCTGACTGAAGCTCCTGGACGTTCTTAGATTCTGAGCTGTGTGACCTTGAAACATTTCAAAAAGCCACGTCCACAGCTGGGTCGCCTGAGGAGCCAGTTAGTGAGAGAAACCAGCACCACGCAAGCTGGGATTAATCTCTCCCATGTGTTCATGCAGTGAAGGAACTCACAGGTGAAGTGGTGATGACTCTCAGCAGCCAGACCATCAAACCCGACTGGATTTGACTGGAGCAAGTGTTTCTTCTATCCCCAGTGCAAACTTTGTTAGTTTGTATTCAGAGTACCGACAGGAACACTGTGGTGGTGAATGTCTGAGTCTACCTGAGCTGTGTGCTCGCTCTCTGTTGAAATGGTTTCTGTGCAAAAATCAGATGTGAAGCTGGAAACAGGACGCATCACAGCGCGGTCAGATCCTGCACCTCCAGCAGCATGGCGTCCTGCTCCGTCCTCAGCTGGTCCCGGATGTGGAGGCGACTCACCAGCTCAGAGCTCAGGTCTGTTTGAAAAGAGGAAACCGAATGAAGCTGGACGCGGCGTGGAGCCGTGCTGGGTGTTCAGACACCGACTCACCTTGTATGTCCTGTCTGAGAGACGCACAGAGCGCCTTCAGCTGCTCCACACTGAGCCGCTCCACATCGCTGAGCTCCAGGTGGGTCCGCTGGGCCGCTGCTTCTCTACGACCGGCTGTCTGAGAACACGAGAAAACTCAACATTTTAACATTTACCTGACACACACATGCTCATACACACACACACACACCAAAGTCTGACTGAAAGCCAAACACAGATAAAAAAACAAGGGTTACCTCTGCGTCAGGTAGAGTCTGTATGTTCAGGAATGTCACTGTGTTAACATTTCAAACTCAATTTCAATGAGAAAAATACACAATACTTGCTGCCGTGGCAACATTTTTTGAAAGAACAAGAAAGATAATATTTTATGCTTTTTAGTTAATAGCATAAAATAAGATCAATGACAATATGACAATATGCTAACTTCTATAACTAAGGCAGAAACCGATAAGTAGTTGAGAATTCAGCTCCATTTTTGAAATGTGTCATTTAAAAATGTCAAACTTAATAATGGAAAACAGGAACTGGGACTTTAAAACTCCAGCTCTACAGTCTGTCCACTGAGGGAACAGACTTTAAAATACTGTTAGTTTATAAATCCCTGAAGGGATTAGCACCACAATGCATTAAAGATCTGCTGTTGTTATATCAGCCTTCCAGACCACTCAGGTCTCCTGGTTCTGGATCTGGTCTTGTGCTGCATCCAGAACCAGAACCAAACATGGAGAAGCAGCATTCAGCTTCTATGCACCACAAATCTGGAACAAACTTCCAGAAAACTGAAAAATGGCCGAAACACTGAGTTCCGTTAAATGTCTACTAAAAACCCACCTGTTTAGAGTTTATTCTGAAACATAATCAATGAAACATTTAACAATGGCACTTGACTAAATTGCTGACTGTGTTTCTATGACTTTGTATGTCTGTGTCTTTATGATGTAAAGCACTTTGATCTGCCTTGTTGCTGAAATGTGTTATACAAATAAAATTTGATTTGATAAACACTTGAAGAAAAGAGTTCATGTTAAATAATGTTGATATCTATATTCTTGCCCATTGGTGCAGGGCAGCATGCAGCTCTGTGACATCCATGCGACACACAGCAGCTTTTCTACATCACTGTACTCTACGCAGCAGCACACCGGTCCTGCTACCTTTTTTCTCTGGTCGGTTCTCAGCCGGTCTCGAAGGTTCCTCAGGGTGTTCCTGAAGCCTCTGGACTTCGGCTCTTCAGACATGGAAGGATTCTGGGAGTTCTTCTGAGCCGGTGCTGTCCTCTTCTGTTGTTGGTGAGGGACAACAAGCAGAAGCACTGAGAGGAAATAAATAGGCCCTGTTTGATATTGATGGATCAGGCTGCAGGCTGTTACCAAGGAGCTGCTGCTCTTCTTGCTGCACACATCTTTCTCCTGCTCTTCATCCTCTTCCTCCTCACTTTCACTGTTGTTGATGAAGCAGAGCTGGAGATTCATCTGTGTGTGCAGGCTGGAGCAGAAAATAGACCCAATTCTTTAACAAAAATAGTGAAAGTAGATCTTTTTCTGGGTAAGAACTCTACAGAACACTGCATATGGATTCAACTGTAGAATTACACAGGCTTTAAGAAAAGAAAAATCCCTTTTTATGTATGAAAGTGAAATGATATCACAAGGGAGACAGTAGACTGCCATGTTTATGTTGACTGCCTTGCTATATAACATCAGCTAAAAAAGTTTATAGTGAACAGAATGGAAAACATTACACATGAAGAAAGTAGTGAAACAACAATCTCCTTTACTTCTGCTCAAACTTCACATTTCTGCTTAAGTTTGTGTTTGATGATCTTTTGGGATTAGACTGCGCTGCCGTTTTGGTCAGTTAATCCTTTTCCACCTGGAAATGCAACTTCACTGCTCATTACCGCCCCCAAGTGGTCTAAAAATATTAACCAAAACACTCATTCAAAATGTGAATGGGTCAGTTTGTGTCAACTTTAACACAAATGAGCCTTTTTGAATAAAAATGTATTTTGCTAGTATATACATTTTTGTGACAACCCTAACTTGTAATGAATAACCAGATCATTTCGAAAAGTAAAAGCAGAACTTAATGCTGATCTGATGAATTAGTAAACCTGAAAAGGGGCTAAATAGTTTTTTTAAATAAATATATAAAACATATAACTGAAACCCTTTTGAAAAACATATAACTTAACTGGACTCAACTGGAAAGGTGACAACTTTCTAACAATTAAATAATTATAAATGGAGTCAGTAAACAGCAGGTAAAGAACAGAGAAGAAATAGAGTCCAGAGTCAAATCTACTGGAGCAAAGCTAGTCCATAGTCAAGATCTTTTACCTCAAATCATTACAGAATTATTATTATCGATCTGAAAATGTAATGTGTCACACCTGAATGCAGTGTATGTGTATGTGTGTGCGTGTGTGTGTGTGTGTGTGTCTGAGGCGAGCGCACCGTGACGTCAGAGCCAGAACGTGGCTGTTGCAGGCGTCGCTGCCGTCGTCCCAGCTGCTGGCGGTTCTGCCGCGGTCCTCGATGCGGCCCCTGGGGGCCCCGCCTCGCTCCAGAGAGGCTCCGGCCTGGAAACAGAAGCAGGCGTTCGTCACGCTCTTTTCTAAAGGTCCCTTTTGATATTTTTAAAGTTGATAACTGGAAAATAGAAACCGGTTTAGCACCAAGAATCCTTATTTTCTGAACCTGAAACAGGGATTCCTTCTATAGGTTTTTCTTCCATGAACCAATCGACCTTCATTGTTTCATAAGCTGAATGCATCATCAAAATTATTGGTTTATTTGAAATTTTACGAGGAATGAAAAGGCCTCAACTTAAACAGTTTTTTTCTCTTAGATTGTACCTCCATTAAATATTGATTAAACTATTCTGAACTAACATGACAGATGAATCAGTTCTGCCTCAGTCAGAGCTAATATGGCTCCATTAAACTGAAATACACAGTTCTCTGTTTGAACTCCAGAAATAGAGCATTTATCTGAACTGTGTCACTGTGTGTTTTCAACAACATATTTATGCTACAGATTTTTTTTTTTAATGAACCTGACAGCATCTGGCCCGCTCATCTCTGACCCAGACGGATGGAATGACAAAACCTCACACAGCAGGTACGTTTAATATCATTATTGAATATATTGACATTTATATTTACTCATGTTCTCATGGAACCAACAGTGGAGAAAACTGTGAAGATATTTCCAACAATAAAAAGTTTCAGGGGGTTTCCAAACATCGTTAACTGAACTCACTGCTGGTATGATGCATCAAAACTCTTCAGATAACAATAAACCGTATAAATAACTCACCATGTGGGAGTCACAGGCCATCACTGTCTGACTGCGACAGGAAGAGGAAGAAGCTAAGATTTAAATCTGGATGAGACACAGAGTTCGTCTGTCATGGTTTTAGGAACAAGTCGGCTGCCGAGGTTAACGCTGCGTGAAACATGGCTCTGTCTCTTTAAACTCACAGCTGTGCAGGATCATCATGTCCACCTGGGATTTATGAACGGCTCTTCTTCGCTGTTTATGACGAAAAATGTTTTAGGAAGGAGGATTCGGGATTAGAGGATACGTCTTTAAACAGCATTCTGACACTTCACTGTTAAATATTTGCAGCTTTCTGTCGTCATGGAAGATGCCGAATTTCAAACACGTACATAAATATAATATTCCAGTCTCTTAACACTTCTGCATGGTGCAGCTTTATAAACAGAAGGCAAACTTTTCAGAGTCGTCTGACGCACACAGCTTACAAATATGACTTAGAGTTTCACGTAAATTATCTTTTACTGAAATCAGAAGTTGGAAAATAAGGATTGTTGGTGCTAAAATAAAATGTTATGTTCCACAATTAGAAGCCCTTTTAGCCCAGAAAGCAACATAACATCTAAATCAGCAACATCTTCCTGAAACACAGCGACCTTTGACCTCAGAATGTGGTGAAAGGTGATGAGCCTGACTGCTTCAGATTTAATGTGAATAGATCCTGAACAAGAACAGTGTAGCACACTGGTGGCTACCTTTCATCAAAAATGAAGGTACACATCTTCAGAGATGCGACCTCTGACCTTTTGGCACCAAGTTGAGTTGTGTGAAAGCCTCTAATGCAGAAGGTCAACAAGTTTGGTTCACTCTGAGCTACAGTTTAGAATTCAAGCCTGGTGTTGATCTGAAGGGCTGAAAAACGACGGCAGAAACCCGTGGTTAGGAAAGACGTCCTGACCTTCGCTTTTTTCTCCTCCTCCTGCTTCTCAAGCTCAGCGATGCACAGGCTCAGAGCCTCCCAGTGCATGATGGGATTGCCCAGTTCGTCCTTCTCGTGGCCCTCTTGCCAAACCATCACCGCCCTCTCAGAGTTTCCATCCTCCACTTCGTTGCAGGTTTCATCATCGCTTCTTGCATCGTCCTCTGCTTCGTTGCTTTCCTTCTCCTCTTGCTGCTCCCACTGCTTTTCTTTTTCTCCTTCCATCTTTAAACAGGGAAAATAGTTTGATACAAGTCAACATGATTTGGAGAGAAAAACACACTAGAAACATTGAAGCAGTGTCAAATGTTAGAAACCGACGATGTTGTCAGATACTGTGTACATGTAGGTCTTCATACATAACAGTATAACTGTTGCATTGCGTTACAGGAGAACCACGTTATCATTTAAAAAAATTATTTATTTTTCTGAAATCCTCTTTATTCAGCCATGTGCTACTATTAGAATCATTATGAATACTGTATTATACAACATTTAATTTATTAAAACCATAAAATAACATTTAAAAAAAAATATCCCAAACATGAAATTTACATTTTTGTTGTTAGTTCTTTAAAAAAATGTCAAACACGTTTTTATATTTGACTTCTGGAGAGACGCGCTACAATATGTTCCATGAAAACATTCGTTGTTTGTTGAAACGTGAATAAAACTTTTTACCTGGTTTTAGACAGAACTGTAAGACAAGCAGACAGTTAGAAACCGAGGAGACTCTAGTAGACTCGTTTTCAACAAGCTAACCTGAAGCTGCGCTGTGAGCCTCACAGGAACCTTTACGTCCTCCAGAGGGACAAAAAACAACCGAGGAAGTTTTCGAAGTTAGCTCATCTTGTTCCGCGGCTCCTCCCGGGCCATTTTACCTCGTCTTCAACTTTTCTCAGACGCCTCACTTCGTCTGTCCTATTTGGAGCAAAACCAGAGGGAGCTTTGTTCAGAAGACACCCTCAGCTCTCATGTGTCTTTTGTTTTTTTCTGTCTTTCAGGGAGTCTCTATTCTGCTGATTGTTCCCTGAAGAAAAAGAGAAAAGAAAAAAAAAATCGGGAGAAAGTTCGAGGAATCTTAAAGAAACACATTAGCGACAGCAAAAGTGGAGAAGAAGGAAAGGAACTTCCTGTTGCTGCCTTCAAAATAATTGCCGTTACATCTTGGCAAAGTCACACATTTACACACCCAGATAGATAGATAGATAGATAGATAGATAGATAGATAGATAGATAGATAGATAGATAGATAGATAGATAGATAGATAGATAGATAGATCATAATGTCTTGGTATGATGGTTTTGTAGATGATGCAAAGTGTTTTTGTAACAATTACTGCTCAGAACTGACACAAAACTATACAAAAATACTTTATTTTCATCCGACCATGCCACACTCCCACAAGCACTTAGGGGATTTTTCAGTAATGCTTAATTTAACAGGAAATACCCTGACATTTTTCCAAAATACATTGTTTTTCTTATGATAAAGTTGTTACATGTTAATTGTTTAATAATTGTGACAAGACTAAACACTATTCTAGGCACTGATGTTATCAAGGCATATTCTGAAATATTCTTTGATAAACCAGTTTAATAAAGTAACTATGTTTTGGTCTTTATGTAACCTGGCTGAGTAAAAAAGAAGAAAAAAATAGTAACTCAACTTCTGTTTGCTTCTGAGAGCTGAGTCAGTAAGAATGATATGAGAAGTTGTGCCTGACTGGACCAATTAATGTAGCTATAATGTAATTGTGTGATTTTTATTCACTTAAATCTCTCAGAGATATGGTTTTCAATGGCTTACGGATTCCAGTGAGGAACTACTAAACATCTAATCGTCTTTAGACGTTTAACAGCCACAAAATTCATACAATTTTAGGCTCCTTAACAAAGATAATCCACTGTTCAAACAGGAGACTGATGAAAAGACATTTTAATGAAAATCATAATTTTAAATTTATATTAAAAACCATGAGTCATGCATGTGGTGTGACAGTAAGATAACTTATTTATGCTTTTTGATAAATTTATTTGATGGCAACAGATACACAGTAAGAGAGAAACTAAGTGAGACAGATTCCTGTATCATGATGCTTTTAGCATGAGCTGATTTGCAGCTCTTGTCCCTAAAGGAGCTTTTATAAACAGTATGCTTAAGATAAAACAGAATAATGAAGCAACAATACAAGAATGGGCAGATATTTATATATGTCTCTATAAATTTACTACAGCAAAATAATAGAAAACATTGGAGTAACAGGACAAAACCCAGTTAAGTTTGCTTGCTGCTGTGGTCTCTTTGTTCAACGTTTTTCCATTTAATTTTGAATGAATACGTGTGGGACCTTTCATGGGTCCCATTGATTTGATTCTGGCGACCTCTTGTGGCTGAAATGCATACAGAGGAAGTCATCAGCTCCTCCCTGCTGTTGTCTGATATCTGAGGTTGAAGAGTTGCATCGCCACCAAACAATATCATGTCTTTTTCTATGACAGAGTGAACCATGAGCACCTACCTGAATTGTTCCCTTTAGTCAATAGAATGAAGCAAAATGCAGGGTTCAACATGCATTACTGTCTGTTATATGAGGCTATTGTAATAAGTCAAAAACCTATATCAAATACAACTTTTATGGTTCTGATGTGCTGAAGCAAGAGTCCTAATTAGAATTAAAAAGAGAAATTTTACTTCTCCAATTTAAACTCATCTTTATTGGTTTCTTGTTAAAATCAAGATCAAATATAAAATTATTCCCAAGCAAGAAAGTCTGAATGATTGGGACCAAACAGATCAGGATCTTCAACCGCTTGATAAACCTTATCAGAGAAGTGCTTTATTAAGTCACTTTCTGACTTTGGTTTTTACTATATGAACTATGTAATGAAGTTAAGATCTTGGTATTACTCAAAAGCTGTTCGATTCCCTCCCAGTTTCCCACTTAACATGTTTTAAATGCCGTTTACGGACCGGACGGATTTCAGTTTGGTACACAGAGCACAGGAAAGCCCTGCTACACCTGCTGTGACTCAGTGAACGGGTTAAATAGACAGATGCTGCAGAGTCTTTATTTTTGTTGCAATAGGTTAGCATTGATGATACACAGCAATGTACTATGAAGCCAATGAAAGCCTTCAGCACTACAGTATTAGTGATTGGAAAAAAACAACCATTAGGCAGAACATTGATACAAACAGAATAAACAAAAGGGAAAAAAAGTTTATGGCACTTATGTTATACTCACAATAATATTGCTTTTAAAAACACAACATTTTTAATTCTTGATACAGTTCGTTAGTTTTACTGCATTTAAATATCAAATATATTCCTTTAATGATCTATGTTATTGCCAACATCAAACATAGCTATCAATATATGTTAAAATGACTTAGCTGTATAATAGTTTTGTGTACAGTACAAATTCTACAGCAAATAACAGTCGGAGTTTGGCAGGATAATCTGGGGATAACAGACTTCAGGACATGCACAACAGTTGTATTGAAGGACAGTGGAAGAGGTACATAGGCAGCGTTTTCCATTAAATAAGAGTGGAGGACTTTGTCTCTCATACAGCCTCTGACATGCAGTCCTTACTTGTAGTAGATACAAGGTACAATCTTATTTTTTTTTTTTTAGATGTACTTCTTTTTCAAGCTGAGCCACAAAAAGGAGCTTCACATGCCAACAAAGGTGCTTGTGAGTCAGAAGTCAATTAGGACAGTGAGATTTAACGTCTCTCTCTCACACACACACACACACACACACACACACATGCACACGCACAACTGTTTGTTTTACCACTTGTGTAAAATAAACCTTTACATAACTCTATACCCTAATTAAATCTTCTTAACCCTCAAAAGCTGACTGTTCACTCACACACATCGTATGCACTCAAGTGAAGGTTAATGAAATGCTAATGAAAAGGGGGAAAAAAATAAATGAAATGAATTTTCTATTTCTTTTTAATTTAAACAGGCGGAGTGAAGACCAGAACATGTCACTCTGAGGACCTGGGCTGATCCAAAAAAAGAAAAAGTTTTATTTTGAATGTAAACAACATGATCTGTCAAATACATAAAATTACAGATTTGTTTTACTTTACTAAAATCACTCTCAGTCAGTACAGAGATAGAGGTTTGTAAAGGACACCATTAGCTGTTTGAATGACAGTCTTTGACAAAAATAATCTTTTAAAAAATATTGATCTAATGTTTTGGACTAAATCACAAAGGTCTTAAATTAGATTAACTAAAAATATGCTGCGTTTGTGAGAATCATTGGAAGTAAATATTATGAAGCCATAATGTTTTAGATGAGATCAGTGACAGTAGAACTGAGATTGTGCCCACAACACAACTTTATTTTGCTCTAACACCAGATTTTTTAGAACATATAAAAACTTGAAGTCATTCTTTGGGACAGACATCAGTGTTATGACGGGCTGCTTTGGCCACTAGGGGCTCCAAAGACTATTATATGCCAAGTACAGGCAAAGACAAAGAACTAGGAGAAATCTGGCTCTACAAAGCAAACAGACGGACTGTTGGCAATGAAGAACTAAAATGATTAGAGAGCTCTGGAAATGGTGGGTGCAACAAATACTGGATGTAATTTCCAGTTCAGTCACATTTTTAGTGCCAGAGGGAAAAAAAAAAGAAAAATAAAAGATTATGCAACGCTTGCTTTTCTTCTGTCCCCCACATCTCCACCTCTCTTTCCTTCCCCCTCTTTTCCGTCCTTGCCTCCTCTCTCTTCCATTTTGCATCAATTCATCGAATCATGCTGGCTGGCAGGCCAGAGGCTGAGCTAGCACTCTGTCACATTATCTTTCTGCTGAGTGAATTACTCTGCCTCCATTAGACTAACAAGAAAGGAGGATGACACAGGGAGATGGCAATGTGGGTGGTGATAAAAACTGTGAGGAGGACAAGGAAGGAAGGAAGGATGGATCAGAGATTCAGCTCAGAGAGACGGTAGAGAGGATGCAGCTAAGAGATGGGAGAGTAGACAAAGGTTTCTGTGGAACAAGTGAACAGCAAAAGGAAGAGGCTAGAGAGGAAGACAACAGGTCAAAATGAGTTAGGGATGAACAACAAAGTGGACAGAAGAAGACGAGGAGGAGAGTGCAGATGGAGAAAACAAACTAAACCTGACAGGTAAAGAAATATTGAGACGTGTTGAGTAATGCTGCGTATGACTTTAAAACCCAGGTTGCTATGACTACGCAAAGAAATCACAAATAATGAGCATAGCAGTGTTAAAAGCACTAAAAATAAAATGTAGGACACTGAGACTGCAACAAAAGTAAAGCACGTTTGTAACTGCTCAAACAGACGACATACAGGGATGCAGGGAAGGAAACGTCATGAAGCAAATGTTCATTCTGATGAAATACTGTGAAGAGGAGGGAAAAAAGATAACCTCCCCGCCCCCATGGACTGGTGTCACACTCCGATCAGGATCCGAGTTAAACTCAGAGCTTTCAAGCAATTCAAACACACATACAGACACACACATGTGCGTGCACACACACACACACACACACACACACACACACACACACACACGGTAACATCTTGTCTTCATGATTAGTTTCCTCCAGTGTCTTCCCTTTATAGACACAGAAACCCACATTCAGTGACACACGTCAATAAATAGTTTAAATAATATAAATAATATAAATAAGAATAAAAAGAGTGAGCTTGTGTGTTGAGAAACCAAACAGGAACAAAGTCAGTGAGACAAAATTAAACAAGTCGTCTATCTTTCTCCGTCTCCACAGCGTGACGGTGAGGCTCTCAGAGGTCGGTGCAGCGCTCCTGCTTGCTGTAGTGATCAAACTGACTCTTCCAGTGCATCATGTAGGAGGACCAACGGTGAAACTCCACCTTCCACTGACGCTCTGCCTCGTCGATGTTGCCTGAGGATATGACAACACAAGAAGAGTAGGAAGCAGGTGAGGATCAGAGCGCCACAATAAAATGCTGTTGAAATGCTGAGACTAATCACATCCAGCAGGTCCAAAGGTCAGCATTTTAAGACTGTTGTGAATGACATCAGACACCTTCATTGTTATTATTTGTACTTCACATTTTAATGTAAGATAACATGAAATGAGTTGTGACATTAGTTGAATTGCTGTTAATCCCACTGGAAGAAATATAGTCAATCACTTCTATCAAAGGCTCGACACCAGGGAGGCAACGTTGCTCCCTCTCCGTTCATTTTCTATGGAAGTTGCACGATGAGGCAACAACCACTTGCCCTCCTCCGGCCAGGACCCGGGGGAAGTTTGATGCTGTGAATTTTCCAGGATCGAGTTCGATGCGAAGCAAGAAAGCTGAAAAATGTTCAACTTTTGTCGCTGGTGTTGTGATCGTTTCTCGTGTGTCAGGTTCACTCAGAAAAAATGTTCGCCTTTCGCTGTTGTTGGTCACTTTGCGTGTGTCAATCCTGTTAGTTATTTTCTACATCAACAACTTCAACATCAAAGACTGTTGGAGACTTATCATTGATGTCACATCCCCAATAAAAGTCTTTAATGCTCCAATTAACGCCCATCTTCAAATGTGCAGTTTTTCTTTCTTAAAATAAAGGTTGTCTCAATAAATCCTTATGTATAACAGTAACACGTGTAGCACAGTTTACCTGTGATGTTCAGAAGGCGTGGCAGAAAGCGGTTCCAGAAAGCACACATCTGGTTGCGTAAACCTTTGTGGATTTTAAGAGGGTCGGTGTTGAGTGTGACATGTTTCTGCTCATTCGCCGTAAACAAAGGCCAGCGTTTCCTAGTGTCCAGCAGCCCGTCGTTAGGATTCCTAACACATAGCAAAATGAAGCAGACAAAGACAGCAAGAAAAAAAAAAAACATTAATCACATTGGACAGAACAGGACATATCACAAGTATAACATTCCCAGTGTTGGAAGGCTTCCATTACATTACATGCTTAAAGACGAGTAGCCCAGAGAGTTAAAATGTTACTTCGCTGTAACTCCTCTGAAGGCAGGAATCAACTACCTTTGATTAGATTGTACTTTGAGGTAATTCTGTTTTGGTTTTAAATGTTAGGGAACACAACCGTTCAGTTCTCTTTCTAAACACTAAATGAGGACTGCCAAATGCTCCACAGAGGTTTGCTGCGCAGTAAGTTGATAACATTACCTGTAGTGTCGTGCTAGCTTAAGGCTACTTTCAAACAAAGGGACCTAATGAATGTAAACTGATTTGCCTTCTTTGGCCCGCTCTACTTTCACTGGTGTCCATCACAGCAGGCTAATCATATTCAGCCTCTGATGTCTTACCCTGTCCGTGCAAAGTTTGCCCAGTATTTCATTATGCGCCGACTCAGATTCTTCTCTTCGGTGGTGTAATTGAGTCTCTTCTCCAGTGGCAACCCAAAGACAAACTCGATTTCATAGCCATGGATGACTCCCATCCACTCCGGCCAGGCTAAATTAGAAGCCCGGTGGTCAAACAGGTAGAGGTACACGCCGCCTTTGGAATGCATGGGAAGAAAAGTTTATAATGAGGACATGAAGCAGATAAAGCACAGAGCCACTAACATGCGACTTACCTTGTGAGTTTCCTCCACTGTTCATCATGCCCAGGTTTGCCTTTAGAGTGTGGTGCTGTGCATATGAACGAGCAAAATGTGCCAGTGGGCAAATTACATTGTGATCTCCAACAATGTCATCCATGGCGTCGCGGTTTTTCACTCCGTTATTCTCATCCATCCAGTCAGTGTATTGCAGCACCACTGCCTCCAAGCCGATATCGTTTGCGTGCGGTACGCTCAGTCGTACACCTGGCAAAATAAAATGAAATAAATAAAAAATAATCCCAGATATATTAAAAAAAAAAAACATTGGCATTGTCTTTAAATTTTCTGTTTCCCCTGAACCAGTCCTTTACTTTTGTTAATAAACTTGCATACTGTATATTGGATTGTGTTTGTTAGATACATGTGCAGTACCTTGATGTTCAAGACGACCAGTGTTGAACTTCTTCCTTCATCTGTTGTTATTTTATGATTAAGCCTCATCAGAAAAGTACTTCCAGATAATAACTGAGAAATAGAACTGTTTGGCTTTAATTTCCTGATAATCAGGCAGTGCCCTGACCAAATTAATCTAAATTAATAGTTTTGCTAAGAGTTGCCCTCAGCAATTATTTATAGTTGCTAGAGATGTGCCGATCAGGTTTTTTCCTGCCGATCCCGATACCGATCACCCATGAGGCCCCGGTAGCCAGTGGTAGCTGGTAGCCAAACCATGTATTGTTGCACGACAGTATTTTAAACTCAATTCCAGTCAGAGTTTCACTCAGAGATAGTTTTCACTACTGCTTGAGGTTTACAGTGGTATTTTTATACTCAGATAACAAACAAATAAAAAAATAACGATAAAGTATTAAAATGAAAGACAAGATGATTCTTCACCAGGAAACCAATATAGCTTTTGTCTGCTTGTAGGTCCTGAGGATGTCTGGTTCTCCTCATCTGCCCTCTGCAGTGTATGTACTCAGCACTCACACAGAAGGATTTTCCATATTCACATACCAGTTGGATTACCAAGCTGCTACTACCCTCTATCCGACTCAAGAAGGGTAAAGATTTTGTCCACTATTTCACAAATAGGATGAAATCCAGGCTGCTTCTCCAGAATCTGGTTCATCCCAGAAATAAAACAACAGACATAGAGGAATCTTGTCAGGCCTCTACCCCTGCAGAAGGACCAGGAAGACCAGCAAATAAAAATGAAAATGCTGAGAAGGATGTACATTGATAGGAAGGAAAATCCCCAGAAGATCTACAGAAAGATCAAGACAACTTTTTTTTACAAGTTTGGTTTGTTATACAACGAGCAAACATATTCAAAAACATTGAATTTAGATGCAGTAATGATTGAAGATATTTCTATAGTTTAATCCAGGAAGGATTACGTGAGAAGCTGGAAAAAAAATGGATGAGGACACATTATCACTTGGATCATTGACTGACTGCTGGACTGCAGGTTGCAGAGCTGCATGTCAAATCTGCTGATATGTAATATTGGAGCTCCCCAGGGACCTGTGCTGTCTGCCTTCCTATTCACCACCCACACCGCTGACTGTTTCAAACTGTTCCATCTGCAAACGTCCTCAGATGACATGGCTATAGTGTATTGTGTGTAGGAGCAATGAGAGGTAGACTACAGGATTTTAGTGGATGATTTTGTGACATGGTCCAAAGAGAACCAACTCCAGTTAAATGTAGACAAGACCAAGGAAACAGTGGTCAGTTTCAGTAAGAAAACATCTTTGTTCCCAAACACAAACGACTTTTCATTTTGAAGTTGTTCTACTTTAATTGGTGGTTTTGTATTGAACTGAATTTCTACTCATCTATTCTTCTATCCCTTTAGTTCAGGGGTGTCCAAAGTCGGTCCTCAAGGGTCGGCATCCTGCATGTTTTACTCTCTCCCTGGTTTAACACACCTGCATCAAATGATGGCTCATTAGAAGGCCTAAGGAGAACATTGACTTGCTGAAGAGGTTGCAACTACCACCAGGGAAAGAACTAAAACATGCAGGATGCCGGCCCTCGAGGACCGACTTTGGACACTCCTGCTTTAATTGATTCATTCTTACCTTCCAGGAAGTCTTCTTTGGAAATTAGACTCTCGTTGTCCTTGCTGAATCCTGGCGCTCCATACAGCAGAAAGTAAGAGCCCTCGTCTTGGTTGACACCAAGAAGAATCTGAGTGTCTTTAAAATTGCCTGAGTTAATCATTGCTTCTGGAGTATCAGGCAGAAAATCACCATCCACAACTGGTACAAAGGAAAACCGGAACAGAGCTGACCATGGCAGAACCTGAACACAAACACAGAAAAATAAATCCACACGGACAAATGAAAGTCTCAGGGATTCAGTAAGACAAAGCTAGCTGTGTGGCAGAAAAATGTGTGCAGTACTTATGCTAGAGTCAGACATTAAGAATGGTCAATTTCAGTTTTACACCACTTAGCCCTGACTCAAACCGAAAACATTAATTGAGCAAATAACAGAAAACATAGGAAATGGTTGCATGAACTCTGCTTTTGTAGCTTATTTACTTTCTGTGTAGCTCTAATAAACTTATTTAATAAGTCATTCTGAATGAAAGTTATTACTTAATCTCTGTGGCCTTATAACACATTCACCGGTGTGCAGTAGGTCATTTATAAGTGCTTAAAAATATATTTTAGGTTTTCAGAAATTTCTTGAGAGAGAATATGGAGGAGATTTCGATTTTCCTTTTTCATTAGACATGGCTTTCCATTTTATAGCATTACAATCTCAAGAGTTTCCTGTAATGGGTAACAATCATCTCTAAATAAAAGAAAATGTGGATAGTTTATAATATTTGCAACTCAGTTTTCTGACAGTGTTAGATTACGTCAAGTATTGCCAGTCAAAAAGGTGCACTCATTAGTGATTATATATGTGATATATTATCTTTACAACCTCACAGTGGAGTGTGTTCAATAAATTAAACTTCAAAAAGGCTTTGTGGAAACACAGTGAAAAATGCAAGCTCAAATTAAATCTGCATTACCAGCCATTCTTGGTCAATAAGCTCCTGTGGAGTTTTGTTGCGCAGACAGTCCACCAGCTCAGTGTCGTTGCCTCCATTACAGTTAACAAGCTTTGCCAGAAGCGTAGCACGTCTTCTGGCCTCAGCAGGGCTGACAGAGGCCCACGGACAGTTGGGGACCCCGCTCTGAAGGATGGCCCTTGTGAAAAAAGGTCTGCTGTCTGGAGACAACAGGTGGAACCCGACTGAAGCACCCCCAGCACTCTCACCGAAGATGGTCACCTGTTTTACACAAATGGACACCCAAGAGATCAGGAAAATTATGAAACCATGTTTAATACCAATATAGAGGATGGACAATAACTGACAAAAACACCTGTTTGGGGTTTCCACCGAAGGAATGGATATTTTCTTGCACCCACTTCAATGCCAACCTCTGGTCCAGCAGGCCGACATTTCCAGGAGCCTCTGAAGAGCCATGAAGAGCGAGGAAACCAAAGGCTCCAATACGGTAATTCATGGAGACCACAATGACTGTCTCAGTGTGAGCAAGGTAACGGCCATCATACACATCCAGCGAAGAAGAGCCACTGTAGAAACCTAAAAAGCCATTATCATTACAAGACAGAGTTAGCCTGATTGTTTAAATAGATTGTTTTTAATAAAAGTTGCAAAATCATATATATTATTTTGTACACCTTAGGAGGCCGTGTATGTCCAATTTCAATGTCCCTAAAGTAAAGTAAAAAATACTTTATTAATTCAAAAGACAAACTAAAGGTTGTTGTAAATTATTTCAAAATGAAATGGTTGTTGGTAGGAAGGATCTTCTGTAGCTGTCTGTAATACAGTGGTTTGAAACAGCCTCTGACTGAAGACTCCCTGTTGTTGAATGACAGCCTTATGAAGAGGATGGAACAATGTCTATCAGCTTATGCAGAATCCTTCAACACATCATCAATTCAAGAGGTTCTAAAGCAGTCTCCAGAACAGAACCAGCCTTCTTTATCAGGTTGTGGAGCTTTTTTCCAACTTAGTGGTTCCGATTCTGGAATGCTAAAACAAACGGCCACAGAAGAAATTGTATTTTTTACAGTCGACTGGATGACTGAGACGTCCTCTAGAAGTGAACCTGCTCTTTGCCTTCTGGTAGACGAGTAACAATAATGTTGAGGCTTTCATTCAGAGACTGATAGACAGCTAGAGACACTTCTTGTTGAAGATATTTGATCTCATCGGGAATCATTAGCTGTTAGCCAGCCAGGTTACATAACTTTCTTCAGCTGGATAAAACATTTTTCTCTCCTGTTCCATGAATTAAACAGGGTTCATTTTTTTACACTTTCATTTACAGAGATATGATAAGGGAGACTAGACATCAACATCCATCCATCCGTCCATCATGTTTTGCTCATCCAGGGTCGGATAGCAGGAGGAAGCAGCCTAAGCAGGGAGTTCCCAGACTTCCCTCTCCCCAGTCACTTGTTCCAGCTCCTCCATGGGAATCCTAAGGCGTTCCCTGGCCAGTAGAGACATCGTCCCTCCAGTGTGTCCTGGGCCCCCCTCTGGGTCTCTTCCAGGTGGGACATGCCTCAACACCTCACCAAGGAGGCGTCCAGGAAGCATGCCCAAACCACCTCAAATCACCATTTTAAGCATTTCTTACTAAAAATATATAGATTTAGTGGGGTGGCCTTATTGATTTCATTCACACATTTACAAATTTGCTTCAGTAAGTTTTAATCTGTTTAAAACTGAAATAAAGCGATTAAAAGTCAAAAATTAGCATCACATTCTTGTCCATTATCACTATATGTAAATATCTCACTTGAAGCCTTATACTGGGGGTGATTATAATTACATGACTTGTAGTAATACACATAGCGTACACTCTGGCAAAATATGTGTGGCCACAAACCTCCACCATAGATCCACACCATAACCGAGAGATTGTGGGGCCTGGGCGAGGCAGGCACCCAGATGTTAAGGTACAGGCAGTCCTCGCTCATCTCTCTGTTAGGATTCCACATCTCAGTGCCCTGGAAACCCGGGTACGACGTGTCCACATACTGGTAACAGGCGTTTGGGTAGGCATTAGCCTCAAGAATCCCTGTCCATCTGCGCTTCGGCTCAGGAGGACGGAAGCGACGCTTACCCAGTGGTGGCTCAGCAAAAGGGATGCCGAGGAAAGCTGTGACATAGCTCCCATCTGGCACCGGAAAGCGCGCACCTTGAACTAGACCACTATGTGTATTAACAAGGTCGCCATCATTTTGGGAAAAGCAGGTTGGGATGAGAGCAATGAGAAAGATTGACAAAAAAACGAGGTAAGTGGAGAGCTGCATGACGGAGGTAAAAAGTGTTTGTGTGCCGGGAACTGCAGTCGTGATTCCTTCTGGTTGGCAGGGAGAGGAAGGTCTGCTCTACTTCACCTCAGATCTACAGAAGAAGAGAGAGAGGGAGACAGAAATATGATTACAATAAAGAAGGATAATGTTGATGAGGCAGGTAAGATTAAACTGAAGGTGGAAAAAAGGGAGAGTGAAGAGAAAGACGTGTTGGCAGTGCAGTTTTCATGATTTGCTAAGGTAGATGGACAATCTAGTTGTTTTTTTTAACAATTTGGTCAATGACAGCTTAAAGTTACATCAACTAAAATGTTTTCATTAGGAAATCGTATAAAACGATTTCCTAATGAAATTTGAATGGCTTGACCTTGCCTTGTCAAGCCATTCAAATTAGTACATCAACCCTTGCTACAGTTAGTACAAGTTGTATGTTTAAAGATGAAAATCTTAAGACATTTTTTGTTGAATGCAACCACTCCTGGATCACATTAGCCTGGTAAAAACCAGCCTCTTGTTCTACACTGTTTGCTTTATCCAGGGGGTCGTGGCTCTCGGCTGTTGGGAAACGATGGCTTCCTGGAGGCGTGAACTTTGTTGAAGTTTTAAATTTTACCCCGTGACTTATGTAATACACCAGTTCAACGCTAAAAAGCTGACTGGAAGTTGCCTGCATTGTAAACAAACATCCTCCACTGTAAAGCGAGATGTGCTGGGCAGAACGGGGCGGCTGGTCCAAGAATGTCGTTACATTCCCTGATGGTAAATTGTAGAAATTTGTTGTCAGAAGGTCTAAAAACCCATAAATAATACATAAATTAAACAATACAAAAAAACTGAGAAACTACAAACAAAGGAGCATAGAACATATTCATCAGGCGCTGACTAAAACATCTGACTCAAAAGGGTTTTGATAAAGGTGTAAACCGTATTTATGTCAATTAACCTGCAAAAAAACTAATAAAAAAAAGCCCGCCTCTTTAGGGCATTCTTGGCTGGTTCCAGCAGAACTTGGTTAAGTCTTTTTAATTTCTGGGTTCATTTTATGTCAGTTACTTTAATTACTTCATCCTATGCCAATTTGTTTTAGTTCATTTTGTCAGGAAGGCCTCTGCTGTCTGGTGTCATTAGTTGATTGTCAAAGTTCAGTTTCCAAATAATTAGACTGTTCAGTTAAACTTCTATACATGCATAATGTACATTAGATTTTTTTTTTTACAGTTTTGAATCTGATTCAGTATTTTTGTCCACAGTCATAACAATCTAGAATAATTCTTAAGAAACATGACTTATTATGTCAATAAAAAAATAACACAAAATACATACATAAAATAAGTGTTAAACTACAAAGAGTGTGATCCTACCAGCCTTATAACAGTTTACATGAAAGTAGCAGTCTGGTGGCCCTGCTTCTGCTGTTGTGGTACATTTTTACCAGATTGTGACATTTCACCTTTTACCATGCAGTCATCATGAAAGTCTGACACAGCATGACAAGTTTTTCTAAATGCTTTACAGTATTTGAACATGGTTAACTGGAATCACACTAATATTAAAAAAACAACCATTTTGTTTTGTCGAAACAAAGAGTAAAAATGATAATATTAGTCTACCAGTTTAGTAAAACACTGCACGAATCGATCAACAAGAAGACAACACAAGTTTAATAAAAACTGTAGCTGTGTGTGTTGAGCTTAGAATATCTTTGGAACTAAATTATACAACTTTGGCCACTTTAGGAGATGTATTGTCAGATACTTTACCAAGTTAATACCATACCAGAGAAGAATGTTGGGGATCTTTTAATGTGCTTACAACAAAGTCTATGTAAAAAAAAAAAAAAAAGTTTCTTATTCTATGTTTACATACTGCTCATCTTAAATAAAAGTAAAAATCCATTATTTCATCCAAAATAGTCATTAGTACAGAGAAAGGCTGGAAAGTAATGTCCTTCTTTCCCCACCACTTTGAACAAGCACATCACAAACAGCTGTCATCTCTCCCTTACATCACTTCTCAGTTGATCTTGTTACTCTGACAACCATACATTGCTAAACATAAACAGTAGTTGAACAGGTGGGAGGAAGACAACTGTCCAAAGGCATTCTTGCCAATTCATCAGTGCACCTCAACCAACAGGAACAAGGACGTTCTTTTTAAGCCATTTTGGAAAATAACTCTTCAATTGTCATTTTAAAAAAGCAGATTTGCTAGAATAGTATCCATTTCAACCTGTTGGAGGTGATGCTTCATATATGTTGTGTCAACATCCTGACTGTTGTGCATGTGCTTTAATTGACAGAAATCCTAAATCTAAATAACCCGCAATAGGGGTGGGCTATATTGCCAAAAAAATCATATCACAGTAAATATATATCTAAATATTTGGATAACGACACCAACAATATTCCACATTTTCTGTCTCGTTTTTCAGATTTGACCAACCAAAGTAACTTCCTTTGTAAACAGATACTAGAATAAAAATATATTGATATATAGATGTATACAAAAACACACGGTGCATCACAGACAATATAGAATAGATAAATGTTTTTTTTTTTTTTTTACTTTGACTGAAATCAGCTAAATTAAAATACTTAAATACAAGTAAAGCTGACTGCTGTGGTTCAACAGAACAAAATGTTAAAAAGTATTTCCCTCATATTTTTAAGTTAGCCAACATGTGAAAAGCTAAGAATCTCAATTTAATACAAAAGAAAATCTTCATTTTAAAAATGCGCAAGACCAAAAATTATGTCACATGAAAAAAAAAAAAAAAAACCCTGAAAAAAATAAGTTTGTTCTCACTTCCTCATGATCAGGAACTTTGTTCACTTTCATTTCTTCCACCATTTCCTCTCACTTCTGCAGCATCGTTTTCATTGCTGTACCAAAATGAGCGAAGTGTTCCATTTTTTTCTTAAAGGAATATCTGATTCAGGACACAGAGCAATAAGGACTTTCAACTCTCGCTTCTACTGATTTATTTAAATGCTTAGGAGTTGGCAGACAGGACTAGCTGCAGCTAGCTAGCTTCTTATCTATGTTTTTGAGTAAACATGTTTCATATAACTCTGTGGCCCTTAACTTTACACTCAGCTTCCAGTTATTTATTTCCTTTTTGGGAAGCCGTCTGTGTTTCAGAAAGTTTTTTCGCCAAGACTGACTGGTTCATTCTTTCTGTCAGCAGACAGAATCAAGCTCAGCATATCCAAGTAACAGCAGGTACAGGAGCTGCAGTGGCCAAACCACTACTGTATATATTTTCCTTCTCGCAGATATCAGCTAATTCAGTGAATTCAGTCCAGTCCAGACTGTGGATCAGCTGACCAGCGTCTTCTCTGTTTCAATCGCAGTTGGCAAACAACTACAGGAAGCATGACCACATAGCGCCTGACGCTGTCCTGAATAAATAACGTCATCATTTGGTATCGCAATACAAAAACTCCACAGGTATTACCTTATATACTATGGTATATAAGGTAATACCCGGGTATATAAGGGGTACATTATATACCCCTTACACCCCTAATGTACCCATGTATACTGGGTACATTAGGGGTATTCCATATTGCCTCATTACCTTACATGAGGCAATATGGCATACCCCTAATGCACAATTTCTAATACAGGTAACGACAGGTTTGTTCAATGACAGCATCATGTGAATAAACCATAGCAACACAATGACCAAAGCAAGCTTTTAACAGCCCAACTTACTGCTTGAGTAGGGACATCCCATATCAGCAATAAAAAGCCTTGTGCCAAATCTAGTATTTACAGAGTCTGTCGGGTTGTAAATGAAAAAGGAATTATTACATATTTGCTTTAATTGTCAAAAATCAAAGACACTGTATGCTGACATCAAATTCTGAACCACATGTGAAATGTATCAAGTTCTCACTTGACCTGACATTTTTTAATAATACTTTAGGAACTTGAAATATTTTTAAAGAGTGATAAAGATAGAAAATTTACTCAATACGTCGTCATCCCTCACCCACCATATATATTACATTGAAGACTATATTGACCAGAGCAGCTCTCTATCTGTCCGGGTCCTGTGACCTGTTCTGTGCGCTGGGCTCAAATATCCCCTGACAGCTGTCCCTGTGAAGGAGAGCGTGCAGCTGAAACATTAGCCATTAAAATTCACAGCATTGAATGCAAAGTACTACATTTACAAAGCAGAACAGTGTTTCTGTAGGTTTTGTGCACACAATAATCTAGAAACAAAATTATAGGCCTCAAGGTATACCACAAGTTTAAAAAGTTACAGTTTCAAAAATATTAAATCTTTATCTGTTTAATAGCACTCCAACAGTTTTAACAGGATCTATAAAAATTGCCAGGGAATGATCCAGAGTGACTGGAGAATGGAGCAGAGCTGCTCTGCAGTTCACTCCTGCAACAACTCCCATGACTCATTTCTCTTGCTTACAGAAAAGACAACTGGCTTCTTGGAAATCCATGGCCTGGAATCTGATCATTAGTTTTATTAAGGTAGTGCTCATTTTCAAATAACAAGTGTAGAGCTAAAAGTGTAGAGCATTATTTGTGAAGCAGAGTGCAGGGCCCAAAAGCCTGGGGTCTAATAATCTAGCTAATATTAGCTTTCAATGGTACTATTATCAGTAGAACAACAACAAGCTAACAACACAGTAAGCAGATTTTTTTAAATTTAGTACATTGGTACTCAACATTTTGTTTTAGATTTCTTTGTCTAAAATAATTAGACAAAGACATGAAGATGTTTTGTGTCTTGCTGTTGGAGGACCTGAAGTGGAAGTCCATCATCTGAGGAACAAGGACAGATTTAAACACCTAGAAGCGTTACTTGACTTCTTTCTCATTTTGGGATCTTACAAGCTCCTCCATTGAGTCTTAAGTCTCTCCCATACTTCATTCCAAGCTGAACAGTTGAAGCGTGGTCAAGTTTCATACCTTTCATAACCAGCACAGACCACCTGAGGGAAACCCTTCCTGTTTTCATGTACGTCATACCCCTACCCGGAAAGTTAAAACGGACTGATTGAAGCTAAATATTAACATTGCTTTCAGAGAGTATATCTACATAAAACATGGCACAACTTA